GAGTTTAGGGTTTAGGGTTTAGGGTTTCAGGGTTTCAGGGTTTAGGGTTTAGGGTTTCAGAGTTTAGGGTTTAGGGTTTCAGAGTTTAGGGTTTAGGGTCCAGGGTTTAGGGTTTAAGGTTTAGGGGTTTCAGGGTTTCAGTCCACAAAATGTTTCAAAGGATCATTGGACTTAACTAGGGTTACTATTGGGGTATCTGTACTTATGACTGACTATAACCCCAGTCAAAGTGTACGTATGACCTCAACTTCCTGGGAGCCAATACGTGCTACTATATACAAAGTCCCATGATCCTCCAAGTAGGGTGTATAGGGTTTTGGGGCTTTGGGGTTTGGGGTTCAGTGCTTCGGCGTCCGGTGCCGACCATAGCACATGAGACCTTCTTCGCGAACAACGTAGTCGGAATAGATCGATACAATCAGGGTTCGATAAGGGGCTGCATACGGGTTGCTAGAAGAGATTTAAGGTTAAGGGTTTAAGACCAAAGCTTTTGTAACGACAAAGCCATCAGGGCTAGCGCACCTTGTCTGTGGCCGCCATCGACGTCAAACTGGGCCTGCGTCGTGCGAAAACTGCACTTTACGGCCGAATGGAAAACCGATGCCAAGGATCCTCTGATGGGATCGAGGTGGTGATGCTCCTATTTCCGGCCCTAAACCCTAAACCCTAAAACCCTAAACCCCTAACCCCTAAGCCCCTCAACCCCTAAACCGGGGTTCAGGGCTCCCCCAAAAAGGCATACGCTTGACCCACACGGACGTGATTGAACCACTGTCCCAACTCCCCAGCCTGGCTCGTCAATCCTTGGAGAAGGGACGCAGTGCACTGGAGGTTTAGGGTTTAGGGCTTCGGGTTTAGGGGTTTAGGGTTTAGGGTTTAGGGGTTTAGGGTTTAGGGTTTAGGTTTTGAGTGCTTACATCTCTGTCCGCAATATGGGGGGGCAGGACAGAAATAATTACCAATACTATTTTGGGGTTCCGTATTATATAGCTAGTAGAATACATCCCAAGCCCTATTCTAATTCTTAAGGCCCCTATAGTAAACCCAGTTCCTAAAGCCAGGCTCCATGGCACGCCAAGCAGCGAAGGGCAGCTCGTTGCGAGCGGTGGCGATTTGGTTGTTGCCGCCTCAGCTTGGCTTTGCAAGGCAGGCAGCATGGTACACCACAGCTACCGATGTCGTCCTTTGCAGTTCCATTTTTGGGTTAACCAACCTGAAAATTTAGGATCCTAGAAGCGAG